AGAGAAGTCCACACAGCTGCCCAGAGTCACACAGATGGTAAATGGAGAAGCCAGTGTTGAACTCAGGCGTGTTCAGCCCCAAAGCTGTGCTGTTTTTCCACACAGCAAGCAGAGCCATCTTAAAACAAAGCCAGTTCAAGACACTCCCTTGTCAATATGCCCTGGTGACTTCCTCTCAAACCAAACTTCTGCAGGACCCTGCCCGCTCAGGTATCTGCCAGCCTCTCTGGCCACACCCCCTATTCTTCTTGCCCTTGTTCTCTCCTTCCAGGCCTCCTGGCCTTCCTCCTATTCCTAGGAATCACCAAGTCTCTGACTCAGGGCCACCCCACTTGCTATTCCCTCTGCCCAGAATGCTATTCCCCGGGACCTCTGCAGATCCCTCCTCCTTCCTCCAGGTCTCTGCTCCAATGCCACCTCCTCAGGAGGCCATTCCCAACGACTCTATCAAAAAGAGGCCTCTTCCGTCACCACTCTCTAAGCAGCCCTTACCCTGCAGCTTACATTCTCAGCAGCACCTACCAGCGCCTGAACCCACCCTCAGCTAGTTGACCGCTTCCTGACAGCCCTCCCACTGGAATGCAAGCTCCAGGGGGGCAGGGGCTCTGCGTCACTCACTGCCGCACCCCAGGTCCAGGGCCCGCATGCAGCAGGGCCCACCAAATTGGGCTGCAGTCTGTCCTCTCCCCTCTGCCGCCTCCATCTGGTCCCAGCACACAGAGGCCTGCTACACAGCAGCTGGTGACCTTAGCCAAGGAGCGTCAGCTCTCCAGAGAAACTTTCCATTTGCTGCCAGGGGCCCTGACAAAGAAGGGACTGATACTGCATCCCCGTCCCTGAAGACCACATCATCCCCTTGCTCTGATATTTGCTAGTTTTAGAATTTTGTGATTTTATCAGAGAAGAGACATTTGGTGCAACGGGTGAAACAAAAAGATAATTATATTTCACAAAGAGAGAAAAAAAGCCTTCGAAACAACCAATTGTCTGTTTATTGCCAGACTAGACAATTCGTTCATTTAATGCCTCCCAGCGTCTTTTCAAAGCAGATGGAAATGGGCTCTCATTAACGCAGAGTTATAAAAAGCTGTGTGACCCAGCACTGAGCCAGCCGGAGGGCTTCGAAGAGCAGAATCTCTGAGCTTCCACCAACACAGATCGCCCAGCTTCTCCGGGGATTGAGGCAGAAGCTGGTCCTGAGCCAAGAGAAGACCAGTGTTCAACATAACAGTTTCCAGAGATACAATCACCTCTGTTTGGGGAACTTAATTTGTCTCCCTTCATCAGTAATCCCCGCCCTGGAAGGTGGCTCACTTTCCGTAAGCCTCTTTACATTTCGCAGAAGTATTTTGTAAATGAACAGAAGGTCTTTCATTTCAAAACTCAGGATTTACTTGGAGTTTTCCTTGATGCCGTCTATCTGAACGTTGTTTTAGTTGTGGAAATTCCTCCTGGCATCTGAGGGGCTTTTGTTTACTGGACTTTCTTAGTTCTCCTCTCCCTTCTTAACACACAGAACACTTCAAAGAAACTCTTGGCTCGGGGCCCTGGTCAAGCTCAAAGGGTGAAATACCAAAGAGATAAGGGAACCATCTTCTGGGAAAATTTAAGCTAACCTCTTAGTTTGCAACTTTTAACCAACCCGTCCACTCCCTCCTTCTGACAAGGTGGGAGATGATAAAGCTGTGCTGTGTAGCCAGCCGCGCACCAGGGCGGACACAATGCTGCCAAGGCTGCCACTACCAAACGAGGGAGAAGGAGAGAGCTTGCATTTATCTCCGAATTCCGGTGCTTGGCCTCCGTAGGGAAGGTCATGCAGGAAAATGACAGGTGCGGATGGGGAGGGAGTCCAGTGGAGGGTGAACTGGGACCTGGTGCCACGAGTGTGCTGCTTAGAGCACACACTGCCGGCGCCGTGTCCTCACTGTAGCCTGGAACATGCCACCCTCTCTTTCCAGATTCTTCCTTTTACTCTAGTGCATTTGAGTATAAATTTCGAATATTCCTAAATGCTTTCAATCAGCAGACCGTATTCCCATTCTTGAGCAGTAATGATAAGTGTTCACCTTCTTTAGCATTAATGATAAGTTTATCTGCTATTGGAACACAAGTGATATCCAGCTTCCTTCACAGGACATGCTAACAGCTGACCACCTAACGCTCACACTAAAAAAATAATAATAATCTTTATGGCTTGAGTAAGCTTCCAAAGGTTAAAAAATAAACAAGAGAGAAAGAAGGCTGCAGGCAGGTGAGTGATGTTAACGCACATGATTGACATTCCTGTGGCAGGAGGAAACCTTCCGTGGAGCACGTGTCTCTGGCTCACTGACACGGTTCCCACGCGCAGTCTCTGTCGTGCGCGTGCACTGTTACTTCTGTAATTATTTTGATATTCTGGTCAGTTTAGGCCCCATTCCTAAAATATGCCATTATCTTGCGAAAACACTTTCCTTAAAGAACCATATTTGTTTGTTTTGTTGTTGTTGTTTTTTAATTGAATGCATTGGGGTGACACTGGTTAATAAACTTACATAGGTTTCGGGTGTACAATTCTATGGTATAGCATCGGTATATTGCACTGTGTCTTCACCACCCAAAGTCAGGTCTCCTTCCATCACCATTTACTCCCCCTGTACCCTCTGCTACCTCCCCCTACACCTCTTTCCCTCGGGTAATCACCACACCGGTGTTTGTGTCTATGGGTTGTTTCTTTGTTTTTTTTACTTAATCCCTTCACCTTTTCACCCAGCCCCCCAAACCATGTTTGTTTATACTCTGCGGTTTCAAAGAGGAAAAAGAGAACAGAGTATAACATGCAGCCTCTAACAACCCAGATGTGTGCATTTTCATGATATTCAACTTACTTTTTCATTCCACGCCCACAGTCCAATTCCAAGAAATGCTATTCCCAGAAACTGAAAAAGAAAGAGAGAGCGCAGTGTAAATATAAGAGTCAACACCATGTTTTTACTAATATAAATTAGAAAGTTTTCAATCAATTCTTTTGCCACTTTACCTGGCTGAAAAACAATTCATTCTAAAATCTGAGTAATAATCTTTAACAGAAAAAAAAAGAAAAAACTAAAACAGAATCCCCCTTGATTAATGTTATTACAGCATTAAAAAGGGTTGGGGGGAAAAAAGGTGGGTGTATATATGCAATGACATATTATTCAGCCTTCAAAACGGAGGGAAGCCTGAAGGACATGACGCTACACGAAACAAGCCAGGAGGACAAAGACCACATGGTATCACTTACACGTGGAATCTAAACATGAGTAAGTCAAGCTCATAGACATGGGGGGTCGGAAAGTGGTTTCCAGGGGTGGGGAAAACAGGGAGAGACTGGTCAAAGGGTACAAACTTTCAGTTGAAAGATGAATATGATCTGATAATCTAATGTATGACGTGGTGGCTACCGTTCATAACAATGGATTGTATCATTGAAATTTGCTAAGAGAACGTAAATGTTCTCTCGCACACACACAAAAGGTAGCCATGTGAGGTGAAACTGGGATGTGTCTTAAAATTGACGGTACCTCTGCCTGGCTGGGGTGGCTCAGTGGATTGAGTGTCATCCCATGCATCAAGAGGTTACTACTTCGGTTCCCAGTCATGGCACATGCCTGGGTTGTGGGCTCCATCCCCAATAGGGGGGATGCAGGAGGCAACCAATCAATGTTTCTCTCTCATCGATGTTTCCATCTGTCTCTCTCACTCCCTTCCTCTCCCTCTAAAGCAATAATAAAACAAAATATTAAAAAAAAGATACATCCGCATATATAAAAAATGTATGTACAAAGTTTTTTTCTTAATCGATGGTACCTCATAGTATTTTTGCCTTGACTATACCAAAAATAATAATGTCGCTTATAATCAGGGTGTTAACAGGCGTGATGACACACTATACAGTGCTGTCCACCCACTAAGCGCTCAGTGATCGGAACGGGGTGCAACTGGCCATGAGGGAAAGACTCATTCCGATTCATTAGCAACTCGGAATCCCCTGCCCTGACGGGGACAGAGTGGGCGCCTGAGCAGAGGCATTCTGACAGCGGCGGCGACTGTGGATTTGACTGACATGCGGGTTAAGCTAAACGTCAGGAAAGCTGTCCACAGAGCGAGCGAGCGGGGTGCGCGGAAAACGACAGTGAGGGTGGCCACTCCTCCCAGCTCCAGGGAAACCTGAGCTGCCCACCTGGGAGGCCTTCTCCACTCGCTGGGCAGGGACACTTTGCAGGCTTCAGACCGACAGGGGCTGGGCGAGCCGCAGGAGCAGAGGGAAGGGAACAGAAAGCACACACACCATGGAGCGCCCTGAAAACGGGGCGGTGTTCTTAAAAGCAGGACTTCCCCAATCTCTCAGCAGTGACCCGGCCTCGCCACGAGGGTATTCGATGCGTTCTGAGCTCCTGCACGGAATGCTCCAGCGTGGCCGTGGCAAACACCGAGGCCCCTTCCTCCTCCTTTTGCTCTCAGACATCTGAGAAGTGTGTAGGAAGATGTCTTGTTCTCAACATCCCAACAGGAGAACTATGGTCAGCCTCTCCACTGCCGGGTCAGAGTGCTATTTCACTTCACATTCCTGACCCCAAACAACAAAGGTGCCGTCCCCCGAGGCACTCGGGGCTCTGCAGTACAAAAATAAAGTCATTCAGCATCTCTCTCTCTCTCTCTCTCTCTCTCTCTCTCTCTCTCTCTCTGTCTCTCTTTCTCTGTTTCTAGGTCCGCGGCACAACTGGGTAACAGGGGACAGGTGTACACACAGGATCCCATCACACCTAGAAGTCACCAAGCGCTTGGCTCCACACGTAGGACATCAGGTGCATCCCATGAGATGCCTGACTTTCTAACGCTAAAGCCCTTCATGGACAAATGTTCACATCGCCCCGACGCAGCATTTAATCACAGCATCACCACGAGGGTGGGCTGTGGTGGCAGAGGGCACTGCAGTCAGCTGCGCTTCTCGCTGCCAAGAGGGTAGACACGTCACTTCGCTGAGGGCCCTGCGAAATCGCTAACATTTATTTCCCTTGATGACTCACCGGCCCCTGTGCTCCGTAGGTAGCGTCTCTCTTTAGCATCACAACATGTTTATTGTGAAATACAGGCTCAGGTTACTGAGGCTCAGAGCCACACAGCTGGAAACCCAGGGAAGTCTAACACAGAAGTGCACGTCCTCACCAGCCTTGATGCGTCCCCATCCCCCACGGCACAGACAGCTGTGACATTCAGGTTAGAATCCGATGGAATCAGAACAGGACATGGCACCTTCCCTCTCCAGGGAGCAAAGGGAAGTTGGGGAAGAAAGAGATGAGAACCTCGCCTTCACCTGAGAACTGGCTGAAGAACAGAAATGCCCCACCCTGGGGTCAGCAATGGAGGGAAGTAGAAAACAGAGAAATCCCACGGTGGGTCAACTTTCTCCTCTTTGTATAAAGTCCTCCGTTCTCTTCCTGCCACTTGGAAAACCGTTTTGCTCTCACAGACCACATAAATGGGTTGGAAACCAATAGTTTCCCACAAAAAAAAGGAGAAAAAAAATCAGGATTTAAAAGAAGACTCGCAGACCATTCCTTTACCACCTTGCTCCAATATGTTCTGCTTTAACTGTGACTTTCCAAACAAGGGCTTAAGAACCTGGAGAGCAGACGCTGGGTTTGAAGACAAGGATCGCACTCAATACCTAAGCAAGAGAGCGGTGCGGGCTGGGGCCTCCACAGGCACATACCTTCGCAGCTACATCACTAGCAAATGTCCTCCGAGCACTCTCAGCCCATGTGTTTTGTTTTAGAATCAAGTTGTTCCAGCTCCATGTAATTAAGCGGAGAGGAGCCAAAAAGCAGAGACAGGCACGCAGCACTCAAGGCACACGGAGTCCCCCTTCCCACCTCTCAGAAAAGGGGACGTAAACCACCCAGCTGACCTCGTTAGGAAACCGGGAGGCCCGCTCACAGGGAGGGAACAGCTGAGAACACTTGCAGGCAGCTCCTCATTCCTGCGGAACAGAAAAACAGACCCGACGCATCTTCCCGCACGGCAACGTATGCAAACACGCAGCACAAATGTTTGTCCACCCGGTTTTTGATGTCTTAAAAGGAATGACAATAATCTTGCCAACACTTGTTGAATGTGAGTAGGAACTAGGTGCTGTGTTTTTTACGAATTAGCTACAACAGCTCTGCCTAATGTAGTAGCCACTGGTTGCTGAGGCCCTGACATGTGGCTGGTTCAAACTGAGATGAGCTAGAGTCTTAATATGAATAAAAAAAATGTAAAATATCTCATTAATACTTGCTTTATTATTGACTACCCTGTTGAAATGATAAAGCTTTAGATGTATTGGGTGAGACAAAATATATTAGTAAAATTAATTTCACTTGTTTCATTTCCCTTTTTTAAATACAGTTACTGCAACCTTTAAGTTCCCTACGTGGCTTGCACTATATTACTATTGAACAATGCTGGCCTGACGTGTCCCTCAACAACCCCGTGTGGTAGGTGCTGATCACCACGTTACAGGTGAGGAAACTGAGACTTAGACACCCGAGGTAATTCCCCCCAAAGGTCACACAGGTGCCTGCGCTGGAAACGCTCAGGAAATGACTCCTCAGCCCACGCGTGAAACTATTACAGCACTTTCCTGATGTGCATAAAGTGTCCAGACAAATAATGGATGGACAATTATACGGAAACTCTTGTCCTAACACCCAAAATTGCCCCTTTCATTTCTAGGTGTTCGGGGCACAGGTATGTTTTCCTGAGGGAGTGCGAATGGCACCAGGTGCTCTGAGAGTGGCATGCTGACGCAGCTGCTAGGCGTGGCGGGACAGAGCGGGCAGAGCCGGCGCTCAGGAAACGCCGGAGAGGACAATGGACCCAGGATGGAGACGTGGGTGATGGCGTGTCCATGCCAGGAGGGACACGTCTGCCCCCTTTCTCTGAGGAGTGGAAGATCTCCTCCCCCATCTGTTGTTTTGGTCCTTGCTGAGCCTCCAGCATCTTGGAAACAAAAATGTGCTCCGTTCTAACCGGTACAAAAATGGGTACTTTGAGAAGCCATCCATCCATCTACAATCCTCAACGAATATTCCTGAGCTTCTACTTGGTGCTGCACACTGCTTTTCTCTTGTGATACAGGAGATAAGATACAGCCTCTGCCCCCTGTCAGCCTGCAGTCCAGTAGGATTGTAACCAAATCATCAAAGCTTGAAGGACAAAATTGTCCTTGATGGTGCCGTAAAGGAAAAGAAAATAAGGCCAATAGAGACTGTCAGAGGGGATTTGACCAGAGAGCGTTACCAGAAGGCTTCTCTGAGTGGGATGTAGGAACTGGGGTCTGCAGGATGAGGAGATGTTAACTGGCAAAAATAAGAAATAAAAAAGGGAAGAGTAGTTCAAGCAGAGGGAAAGCATGTACGCACTACATGTACACGGTGGTGGCGGTAGCATGGCACATCAAAGGGTCTAAAACAGGGGTGGGGAACCTTTTTCTGCCAAGGGCCATTTGGGTATTTATAACATCATTTGTGGGCCATACAAAATCATCAACTTAAACAAATTAGCCTGCTGTATCTGGTCAAACATTTAATGAACTCACCCGATGCCTGCCGTGGCAGGGCCGGACCAAATGATTTCTCGGGCCTTCCACGACCCGCGGGCCAGATGTTCCCTACTCCTACTCTAAACGGTGACTGGTGTGGCTGGCGCACAGAGAATGAGGAAAGAGAAGAGGGCAGGGCAGATGTGCAGTTAGAGACACAAGCATGAACCAGCCCATGCAGGGCCTTGTAGGCCATATTAAGAAATCTGGGCATTGCCCTAAGAGGGACAGGAAGCCATTTAAGGGCCGACTGTGTATAGTGAGCTGCAGTGGGGTGAGGAGTCTGGTCAGTATCAGATTTGGGTGTTGGAG